GGGGTCATGCGATAAAAAAGACATGTTTGTTATTTGTCATTTGTCAGTGTCTTTATTCGAATGCTTTAACCATGTACACGTATAAAAGTATAAAATAAACGTCTACTCTGTTCTAAAACGTTATACCATTACTATCTAGATCACTTTCTGCTTAATGTCAAATTGAGTACTCATCAATGTGATTTGTAATATTTCTTGACATTTTTACAGGTTGGTATATAGCACAACCAGTGAAATGATATAACATCATCTCTACATTTATATACATACGAACGTACACGTATACAAATATGTATGACCATGTGATGAACTCCACAAAAAGCTGTACTGTAAAAAGAGTTCTGGGCCCGTATTCATGAAACCTTTCTCATGCTCAAGCATGGATTCTGTGCTCAAGGAAGCTTTCTTGTAACTCACCAGAATCATGTCAATGATCAAAAAGTTAAATTTAAACATTGAAAACAGTATTCGGCTATAAGTCTCTTCAATTTTTACCCCAAACTTAAACATTTTTTTTTTTAAATAATTTATAACTGGAACAAGAAATTAGACTTGAGCACACAATCCATGCTTGAGCATGAGAATGGTTTCATGAATACGGGCCCTGGTCTCCTGTAGTCTGTGACTGGATGCAGGCACTCTAACCAAAGACGTGACTCTTCATTCTTATCTCTTCTCTGCAATATACAAAACATGGGTCTAATAATTACGTTTCCAAACATGTTGTAACGGTTATAAGTAGCCTCGCAACACTATACCGACTTGGTATTGAAATTAGACGCTCGACTTTGTACACACGTCATAATAAACTGACCATACATATCGTTACCGTAATGGTCATGTAATCCTTTTCTGACCGTCCAATCATATCCTTACCATCCTGCCATATAAGCCTCAGTTCCCTTCTGAAACGATGTGATTAAAGTAATCCTTCTGTGTTGACTGCTACACAGTTTTGCCCTTGCAATAGGGAAACACGATCCCCCGCTGCCCAGAAATTAATCATAAGAGTGAAGCCCCTGAAAGTATGTTTAATCGAGGGAAAACAAAGAATTGCTTTCCCTACAGAAAAGGCAATACATATGTCATTATAACCAAAATAGAACAATAACACGACACTAAACATAACACATATAGGCTTCCTCGTCATATCGTTGTCATCTGCTTCAGTTAATTGGAACTCAGGTGTTGTGGCTCTACATCATTTTTCTATATTTTCCTAATAAGGGAAATATGACCTGGAAAACTCAAGTGTATGAGGGCGACAGGGTGTTTTACTTCCCCGACATGTTGTCGATATAATCCAATCAGACACACTGTTAACTAGATGACGTTTAATAAAACTGTGTCCACACAATTATGTCATATGGCATTACCTGTCTGCCCCATGACTAAGACTTTTCATTCATCTATCTGCTTCAACATTACGTCATGTTACCTTACCCTTTTGTGCCAAAACTATGAAATGCCGTCCATCTGTCTACTTCAATATCCTGTCACGTGACCCTACTTGTCCGTCCCAATACTACGACATGCTTCAACATTATGTCACGTGACCCTACTTGTCCGTCCCAATGCTACGACTTGCTTCAACATTATGTCACGTGACTCTACCTGTCCGTCCCAATACTACGACATACTTCACCATTATGTCACGTCACCCTACTTGTCTGTCCCTATATTACGACATACTTCAGTATCATGTCACGTGACCCTTCTTGTCCGTCCCAATAATACATGCTTCACCATTATGTCACGTGACTCTACCTATCCGTCCAAATACTATGACATGCTTCACCATTATGTCACGTGACTCTACCTATCCGTCCCAATACTACGACATAGTTCACCATTATGTCACGTGATCCTACTTGTCCATCCGAATACTACGACATACTTCACCATTATGTCACGTGATCCTACTTGTCCGTCTCAATACAACGACATGTTTCAACATTATGTCACGTGACCATACGCGTATACCTATCTGTCACAATACTATTATCTTACCTGTTTGTCGGGATACTACAGATTTACTGCTACTTGACACGGAGTCATCATTCACAGGATCTGTAACCAAAAATAAACCTTATTGTTACTAACCAATACAAGATATTCAATAGTTTCATGTACTTTACGAAACAGATAAAAAAATCAAAACACACAAGTTCTTCACCAGTAAAATCAATGCCATACGGATAACTTATAGAGTAACCATGGTGATCTACCTCCGCATTGTGAACTCGGCAAATTCAAATACAACAAATCATAAAATGTAATCTGCTATATATAACCCAATCACAATTTTTTCGTCTTGCGAGCAGAATTTAACGTAAAAGTATCGTAAAATAGGATAAAATGTATAATATTAAATGACACAACTTTTTCTACATCCTCATTGGTTAGATCATAATCAAGTGGTGGTCAGTGATTTGTAATATTGACTCGATGTTATTTTTCAGAAACAACAGGCCAATATTCTTATGATGACGTCACTTAAATTTGTAGGTCACAATACCGTTTTCTTTTGATCCATCTTGTTTGAAACTAGCATAATTTTATATCTATACCATAGGGACCTGAGGATTTGTTACAGCTATATTTGGACCTAAAATAAGGTGTTCAGAGTAATTTTACATATTTTATCATCATAGGATCATTGGGGTGCCTTTTTAGCGAAAGTCGATCTAAACCCCTAAAACATGTAAAAAATACTCTATACACCTTATTGTAGGTCCAAATATAGCTGTAACAAGTTCTCATGTCCCTGTTATCTCTGCAACAATTAGGGAAGGGACTTTATTATGGTGACTAATGTGCAATACTGGACTTGAGGTGAGGTAGGCATATACATGCTGTTCTAGCTTGGTCTGAACAATAGCCACCGAGGCTGAAGAGATAAGTAATCTTATCGACATAGAAAAATATATCCTCGACCTCGTCTCGGTCAGTATCTCTTTCTCAGGTCTTTATAACTACATCTTCACCTCAACAAAAGTCCTTAACCTAACGATGCGAAGTTACATTTGCTTGTAAGAATGGAAACTTAACGTGACCTCACCGAGTTACCTTCGTCTCTGAAACTATAGACTTAAATCAAGTTACCTTCGTTTTTGAGACAAGAGACTCAATACGAAATTGTTTAGTTAACGTGGCGTCATTAAGTTACCTTCTTCTGTGAGAGCACCAAGGAACACTGGCCACCAGAGGTCCTTCTCGGACTGGGCGTCAATGCAGACGATATCCTCAAGAGATGGCGGGAGTTCGCAATTGTTCACCAAGACTGGAATTGGTCGCCTGCCTCTCATCCGTCCATCGTAATACTTTTTCCACTCTAATGCTAGAAAATTCTGTGACAACACTAGCACGATTTTTACGGATCGTTTGATTGCATGATCAACGTTTTCGATCACTGGAGAACCAGGTTTGAAGTCCCTACCGGGGTAACAACAAATCAATCCAACGTTTGGAGATTCCAAAGTCTTAACAATTTTAGATACCCATGCTGTGTCTGCCATATTATGAGCAAACAGGACATGATATCTTTTTCTAGGCGGTAGCGTTGGCGCTGAGCCTCTGAGAGTGTCTACCAGGTGGCGCCACCACGTTTCTTTGCCCCCTGTTGCATTGATGTACTGAAAGTACTTCAAAAATGGCGGTATACCACATGGTTCCATCAAAATTGGAACAAAACTGATTCCTTCCGTTCCGTGTGACATGTATTCCAGTTCCATCTGTCGCCATTCCTTATTTATGTAAGAAGAGGACAGCACAACGATTGTTCTGACCGATTTTTCCAGTGCATTCTTTACGTTGGCAGATATTGAAATCCCGGTTTCAAAATCTCTTTCGAACACACAACACTTGTAGCCCAGGTATTCGAGCTCTCTCGACACAACTTTGACCCAGTCTTTGTCCGGTAGTCCAAGATGGAAACAGAAGAACACATGGAAGTCCTTCCCGCGCGGTAAAGGTGGTGCTTTTGACGACCGCTTCAATTCACGTACCACACTCATCGTATGCGCACGCTCAAGGCTGGCCCTGGTGTTTCTGTAAATCAAACAATACCAAAATAAAACATCTTACAATCTAAAACATGTTAAGGCTCCAATCAAATTCTTCTTTTAGTCGTGGGGCCGCCAACTTCTTATTCGTACGGATTCGGGCTTCCAATACGCCAAGTTGTTGCACGTGGTGTGCTTAACATGCTGGCTATATTAAGTATGTTTCTCCACTTTTAACAGTGTTTTAATACCGCTTTATGTCAGTGTGAAATGAGTGAGTATTCCAAATACTTACCTTTTACTACCTTCATAACGACAATTTATTTAAAAATAATTAATTGCGAATTAGAGGGTATTCCGAATGCCCAAGGACTGACAGCCTCAATCATTGGCAGTGTTACTTGTTTTAACAGTAACATAATCATGACTATATGGGTCAGCCGAAGGTATAATAGAGGCATTAACGGGATTAGTGTAATCTGACCACTGCTAATGCCAAGGCCAGACTTGGCCATGTGCCGCATTTCAAGCCATGCGGTTTGACACACTCAATGTTCATGTTCAAGTTTTTTATTTGCTGAAGTTTTACAACTTATGGCAATTACAGATAAGACAAAGACACTCACAAGGACACATTCACACTGACTCGCACACATCATCCTCATCATCATCATCAAATACACTCACACTAACTCGCACACATCATCCTCATCCTCATCATCGAAGACATTCACACTGACTCGCACACATCATCCTCATCATCATCATCAAATACACTCACACTAACTCGCACACATCATCCTCATCCTCATCATCAAAGACACTCACACTAACTCGCACACATCATCCTCCTCCTCCTCCTCATCATCATCATCATCATCACTCACACTAACTCGCACACATAATCCTCATCCTCATCATCAAAGACATTCACACTGACTCGCACTCATCATCCTCATCCTCATCATCAAAGACACTCACACTAACTCGCACACATAATCCTCATCCTCATCATCAAAGACACTCACACTGACTCGCACTCATCATCCTCATCCTCATCATCAAAGACACTCACACTAACTCGCACACATCATCCTCATCATCAAAGACACTCACCCTACCTCCCACACATCATCCTCATCATCCTCATCAAAGACATTCACACTGACTCGCACCCACCATCCTCATCCTTATCATCATTAAAGACACTCCCAAGGACACATTCACACTGACTTGCACACATCATCCTCATCATCCTCATCAAAGACATTCACACTGACTCGCACACACCATCCTCCTCATCATCATCATCAATTACACTCACAAGGACACATTCACACTGACTCGCACACACCATCCTCATCCTTATCATCATTAAAGACACTCACAAGGACACATTCACACTGACTCGCACACATCATCCTCATCCTCATCATCAAAGACATTCACACTAACTCTCATCCTCATCATCAAAGACTCTCACACTAACTCGCACACATCATCCTCGTCATCATCATCATCATCATCATATCAGCAACAGCAGCAGCAATCATTCGTCATTCATCATGCTCACATACATACACACGCCAGAACCCTTTTCGCCCTCATTCACCCAGACAAGATTAATGGTATACTAAGTATTATATAATTTGTATTCAATAAAGTGATAAACAACATGTATCTTAACATGACCTGTTCTAGTGATGACCTCTTAATAAATCTGCTCTACGTTTAAACGCTAGTGACAAATACTTCCCCAAATTATTAAGTTCTTTTGTGTTTTCGATTTTGAGTAATTGAACGAATTTAAACATACTAGGCCTTTTGAAATAATATTGCGCTATGAATAGCGATTACCTTTAATTATATAATGAAATTCATCTTCTATATCATTTTCATTACATAAGATACATTTTCTTTCTTCTCTAGGTATATCTCTATAACGGCCACGTTCAATGAACAGGTCATGCGCACATCAACGCATCTTAGAAACATGTTTTAGATAATTTTTAAATTAATTGCCTTATGAAGATATGGTTGCAATTTAATACTTTCCACTAAATGCTGATATAATACTCCTTTAGAAGAAGAATGAACTTTCTCTAGACAATCTTGCTGAAAACTATCACATAATCGCTGCTTATATACATCACTGGAATGAGTAATACTATCAGTCACAAACATGTACCCAAGGCCGACTCTTGAAAGATCATGTTTTAAGTTAGGTTAATGTAAAATCGAGAAGTTCTGTTCCCTGCTAAACGTTCAACATTAATGGTAGGTGCCACGTTTTGGTTTCCCCTTGTCAGTTTAATGAGACCGGGGGTGGCTGGGTTCCCCTTGTCAGTTTAATGAGACCGGGGGTGGCATACTGTGATGGATGTCTTCAGCATGATATTTCAGTGAGGTAACACTCTAAAGTCGACATCAGATCCGCTCTCTCGCAAGAACGCAAATACACCCACACCGCTTTCAGCACATACGCATACATTACACAATGGTGGTCCTTTCTTTAGTGGTCTTCACTTTAAGGAGACGTAAAACCAGAGACATATAAAGCCAGTAGTATATACGTCTCTGGCTTAACCAAACTATTACGCTGTACAATGCATGAAATAATTTTGACAGTGGTAACTGTCCCCCTATTGAAGTGTCAAAGACAGTAAATGGTGACTGAAAAGCAGACAGACAACGCCATACCACAATAAGACGTTGAGACGGACATATATATCCTATATATAAACCCATTGTGATGTCAACTGTAATTACATATATAAAAAGCAGTATGAACACAGTTTCGGGGAACAAAGACAATATACAAACAATGTTGGCGATTAGCAAAGGTTTGCTAGCAATTCCCCGTCAACTGTAAGGATGACTCGGAGAGGAACTTGGTAAAAAAGAATCGTGACCAATGACGACTAACTAGATTTCTGTATTCAATATATCCTTAGATAACCATGTGCAAAGCAGAGACATGTAATATATACGTCTCTGTGCAAAGCAATAATGGTCGATTGCTTTTCACAAATAGGGGGATATGGACCTCACTCGGCTAATAACTCCCTCATCTTATGTAAACATTTGTTTGACCATGGTGACAATTTAACATAATATGGTATATATATACTTACATACTGGCGGCACTCCTTTCCCGGCGGGACGGACCGATGAACTGCAAAACATGAAGAAGATGTACGGACGTATATGGTGTAACCAACCACCCGTAGAACTGATATATAGAGGTACACCGCGTGACAGTTATAATTCATACTTAATACGTACATATGTATATAAGTAACAACGAAAATCCAACAGATTATTTTGTATAGTGAGTATTTCCCAATATAAATGTTATTTGATTGGATTAAGGATTACTGCAGTAAATCTCGTGCCCGCGCTCAAGCGGGACACTAGGGCACAGTTAACATTATAATCTAGTAATTCAAACACTAACCTCGCTTATTTAGTGCAATCGCTGGCAGATATGTAGATATGTAATTACTGCAATACTGTACTTCTTATCATTGATATAGGACGAAGAAAGCTAACACTGCTGCCTGTTTCTACCCTATATAAGTATAGGTATAGTCTACTTGAATGAGTTACGATACAGGTGTGTATGTCACAGGTAGGATTAAATATTTATAATAAGCGATCATTGCCCGCTTTTTTATTCCTGTTTATCGATCTAGGTATTTAATCATATGCATTTCTAGACCGACCGTAAAAGAGCTGAATACGCTGACTCGATATGGCGATAGCATCGACGTCTAAGTGATATATAGCCGGTATAGTGTATAGTATATATAACTGCTTGGTTGGGTTCAAGTACAATAGCGGGAAATGTAACTGAACACGAAGTCTAGTTCGATATAAATGTGGACGTACGTTGGTCTTGTAATATTAAAATACGACATTCACAACAATTAAATAGTCGGACACAAATATCACAACAGATTTACAATAAAATTGTAAGACAATAGCGTACGTATATACAGAGACAACTATCGTACTAGATTAAAAGCGAAGGTCCATTTGACTGTTGATATTAGAGACACGAAAATGGACGTTACAGAAAATATCCTGACGTTCACACGACAAACTATATCTCTGCTAACATATTAGGTACTGATATATTTTGTTTTAATTCAGAGTCACCCGCTTGTTATCATTGTATGCAACTATGCGTATCTCCCAACAGCGTCACCAAATTAACAAGTAAACAGATTTACCATTCTTGAGAGTTCAATGTGGAACATAAAAACAGCTACATGTTAAAGTAAGTTAGCACACCACCCTTAATGATCGATTCTCAGCTATACCCCTAACGTTGACGAGAAACAGGTTTTCCAACGTGTACGGTGTTTAGATAAGAAGGACCCACCCCCATAATGACTTATGACTAAAATCATCTTAAATGATTTAAGGAAAAGCGTACCTTCACGTTTATGAAATATTGTATTAATTCCTTATCTACAGCGATACTCTATAGTACATGTAATTCATATGCATTTTATAGAATTATAGAATTTTGATATTTTAAAAAATAATCCAATGATAATGTACAGCATCAAAATGAGAGCCCAATGAGTAGATCGTGACGCCTATTGGGGGAAATATTGAACATTGACAGATAAATACATTGACCAGTGTCTTTAAGCCAGATAACAGATAGGTCGGTTGCTTAAATTCATCTTCTAGATACGAGGGAGAATACTCAATATTAAAGAAAATAATTGAGTGAAACTTTTCATTGCGATTACAAATTAACAACTTAACTTAACAACAATATCTCACAAAGACAGACAGAACCAATGGTAACTGTTACAATCATGATTAATACATTAATATCAGTTGAATTATTTCCAATAAATAGGCTGTAGACAACTTTAAAACAAGGTACCTAAATATCCCACTAACTTATACGTGTACACACACTAGTGGTATAGTGAGTGTACATGTATGGGTTAGTGGAACAGGTACCTCGTTTTAAAGTTTCTATTTTGCGACAGATTTAACAGTAAAAGTCCCTAAAACATGACCAATAGTAGCCTATAGGGTGTCGCTATTTGTCCTGGTACTCACGCTGTACGCCATACTGAAGTGGAGGTTGTTCATGGTTTGATGACAAAATTCCCACGCTTTCTATCCGGTCACTAGGAATTCGAGACTATCTTGATCATTTTACTCGAAAAATAACACGTTACTAATGTTAAATGTTACATATTAGTGATTTTTTAAATGATGAGATATGTTGATCGAGAGGCCCGTGGTGTGTCTGAAGGTTTAAATGTCTGCCCCCTGTCTCGATATCCTCAGGTAGAGGTTACCGTGCAGTAGAACAAACCATTGTCTGATATAGAGCACCATTGTCTGATATAGAGCACCATTGTCTGATATAGAGCACCAATATGCAAATCAAACAGGCAGTGGCTAGTCTATAGAACAAAATTCAAAACCATACCGAACGATTCGCCCCATTATCATTATAGTATTGTTATTGGCTACGATATGAGACCTAGATTTCCTGCTGATATCCGGCAATATCGCTGATAGAAGCAGTGTATAGCTCACCCTTCATGTGCTGTCATTAATAACTGAACACTGTACGAATGTCAGTAGGTTAATTAACTATCGTGTAGTGTCTATACGTCAGAGCTTAGTTATACCTAGGCTCATAATCTTACACTGTAAGTACTCATATTTTCATTGCAATTATTAGTTTTGAAAAATAAATATAAAATGTTCTGAAATTCAAACAAAATCATGGTGCAACTCCTAATTTTTCAATTACATTGAAAAATATATCAACTTTGAGAAATTGTCTCAAATAACGTTATTTAGTATATAAAGCTATTCCTGGGTCCTGACCGAATTCAGTAAGGCCTCACAATTATACTTGTTTCAGGGAACCCTGCTGACTATAAATTTTGCTGTTAAACCTGCAAGATTTTTATGCCACATTTAAGAAAGCATCGTTAAAATCCGAGGTATTTGCCCTAACAAACCATGGTTAAATGTACATATTTATGACAGAAAAATATAAGCCTACCTATACACCTTATTTTTATCAAATCCGTTACGTGAAACATGTATGTGTTTGTTTGGCCTAAAATCACTACCTTTGGAGCAGAGCCAATTTACAGTTTCCATTAGCCAACAGCAGTTTTGTCACCTAAATGATTACTTGTCAAACCTGTCTGCTGTGCCGTATCGCATTATATTTTTTGTCAGTTATCTAACAACCTCGCGGCTTGTATTTCAATATTCTCCCAAGACTTATGTGTCGTCACCTGAAACACAATTACTCCGTTTAAGGGTCCATGTCCCGCTGCACTTCTGTTTTTCCTATATACAGTAACCTCCCCTTAACTTCCGCTTGAATAAAAATTGGACAGAACACTTCATTTGACCAGGTAACTCAGTCGGTTAGATAGTATAACAATCAGTCCAGCTAGGCTTGAATCTCGGTCTAGCCCAATCTTTTTAAAATTTGTCTTTCTCATCGCCCACGTTTACCTATATGTCGCGACATACGAGCAATTAAACTCGAAACGATCTCTCCTTCTCATTTCGAATCACGACCGTCTATAAACCCAAGGCGGCCCCCCTGATCCTTAAATGACAGGAAGTGCATCAGGTCAAATGCTTCCATTCTTTTATATCAATGATGTTTTTATACAACAAATATAAACACAATTCCAATTAGCAAAAGAAATATTCTGTATCTGCCCTTATATTAAAATAAACAATTGTTTTAAATTATGAAGTTCTGTCATGTGTTCGAAACTAGAATGATCATCTCTTACAAACAAACTGTATCCTACCCTACTCATACGTCAATCCCATTGGTCAAACAAAACCGTACGAATATACTCGACCTAATATGATTGAACCGTACCTAAATATAACCACGGAATTAGATTATCTAAGTCCGTGATATAACTCAAAACTCATTACAACAGGCCTAATCAACAAACTCCTAATATTTGTGTGTAGCTGCTCGAGCGCTAGATCTTGATAAAACAAGCTCTGAAACACATGCTGAAGCTATTCGGCTACAGGGGTCTTTATACTCGGTAGATTTATCTGTGTCCTGTATCAGACCTCGTCCGTCCCTCTTACTACAAAGGAAGGTGGATAACACCTTCTTTTTCACAAAGTTGAACCCTCTTTATTGTCTTTTGAGGAAAGAAAGAGAACGGAACGCACATTACTGATGATGCAACAAGGTATAATAAGGTCACACGGCCTCTGGAATACACGTTTACATCAAGGTTTTATTCAAAGTGAGTCCAAGATTTGCGACTTGTGGCCGAGCCATTTATAATCGTTCTGGGATTTCCGCTGCATTCTCTAAGCATTATTTGACTCAAAAAATGCAAACTGAATAAATATGCGATTGGTTTAAAAGAAATCGGTTTATATATTAAACTACGTTTTAGATACGGGAAAGAAAATGGTAACTCTCATGGATTCTGAAGACGTGGTCGTCCATATGTCCTTGGACTTAGTGATTGCTATCTGAGTCCGTGATATGTCATTATATGATGAATCTATTTTAAAATATGAACGTAAGACACATGCATGGAGATGCAGTATAAAAAACAGAATTGCATTGCATCATACAGCCCTTCTTCCTTCTAGGATTCGTCGGTGATTCTAGGGGCCAAAAAGATGGAAATACAAACCGGTCTGAACTATTGTTGAATTGGAGGTCCATTAAACACCCTTAATCATATAAATTTCAAATACTAGAAGAGTAGCGGTCAATTTAAGATAAATAACGAGTAAAGTGTGTATAATGCTACTACTTAAGGGAGATAACTGTGGTCGTCAAGGTTACGGCAAACCTCGGGGAGTAAGAAATCCAGAAACATGTCCGTAACACACACACACACACACACACACACACACATGTAACTATAGGTATAACATTTAGAAAAAAGATATAGTATGCAAAATAATAATAACACTGCACCAATCAAATGCTTCGTCCTTCTGTGACTCATCCTGGTGCAAGGGGGCAGAAAAAGTTGGAAATCCAAATTGATCCAACTACTGTTGAAAGGGAGAGGTATAGTTATAGTTATAGTTGTCTTCCGGTACAGGAACTACTGTATTTCCTCTACACCGGACTCTATTATCCATAATAAAGTTTGTAACGTTCTCTTTCTATCATAGTTGCTTTATAATTATAAAACATGTCCTGGTTTTTCCATGCTTCGTCCATTGCATTTTTAAAAGTGTTTATGTTGGGGGACGATACTACGTGTTCTGGAAGGCTGTTCCTCCGAGAGTAAAATTGTTTCTCCTCAGGGATGTCCTAAATTGTTGTGGAAATATAATTTTGGAGTTTCCTCGGTTGCTATGCCTTGATGCCATATTTCTCCATAATTTTACAAAACTACAGAAGTACACCAGTATGACATGTGAGGGCCAAAAGGTAGAACGTTTTATGTGAAACTTTTTTGGAGTTGATAAAAATAGTTCTGATAAAACATTTTCTCAATGATTCAGTACAGGGTTCCATAGGCGCCGGTCAATTTTTTTTAAAAACACTGAGAGACAGTTGCAGTTTATAAACTTCAATTTCGAGCTGATAAAAACGTAACAGAAAACACCAAATATCTCATTAATTATTATTTATTTACTCTGAACCCTTGTCTGTTTACTCTGAACCCTTGTCTGTTTACTCTGAACCCTTGTCTGTTTAGTCTGTTTACTCTGAACCCTTGTCTGTTTACTCTGAACCCTTGTCTGTTTACTCTGAACCCTTGTCTGTTTACTCTGAACCCTTGTCTGAACTTGGAAAATATTCCGATTCGTAAGATATCAACGTTATAATCGACATGGATATTACCTGTATTATAGACTGGGGTCTTGGATATGTAAGAATACCAGGTAATGGAAAGGTTGATTGGGTCTCCAAAGCAGTCTCATCGCCTACATTTTAAACTTCATTTTACAAGTTTCAATCCACCGATACCGAAGTTTGTAATTTCCCAGTGGCGCAATAATTCGAGCTGATGTGTAGACGACAGAACATTGTACAATATTGAATTAAACCTGCGATCGGTAAACGGTGTCCTAGCCATGGAAAAGGGCATCAGGACTAATAGAATAGTTCACCGCCTTTGTTATAAAATAGGGGAATCTCAGGGATAGTGGGGATGCCCAACACTAGCGTGATTTTTTTCTCTCTTACCTATTGACCCTATCAAATATATAATGCTCAATGTATTGTGGACACGACGTCATACACAATTGTTAGGAATGAATGAATCCCCACGTCTCAACCCTAGGGTGAGACGTATATCATATTTCCCCACTGGCCAAAATTCAACATCCTAGGCCTGAGGAGAAGTTGTTTAAAGTAAAAAGTTGACGCCAGACAGACGGACAGACGACGGACACTGCACCATGGCATAAGCTCACCTACCCTTCAGGCAGGTAAGCTAAAAACTTGGTAGCCCTTCATTCCAGTTTGCTTCTGGCCTAATATAATCACCCTATGCTTTTTGGTTATTGAGAAGAAGTTGTTTGAAATAAAGTCTTGACGCTGGACGACAGACGGACAACAGACGCTGCACCACGGCATAATCTCACTTGGCCAGGTGAGCTTCAAATCTCAACCCAAGGGGTAAGAGTCATAAATGTCTAGCCATAGGCTTTGACATGCTAGACATTTATGACTCTTACCCATTGAGTTAAGATTTTTCTGTCTCACTCCCAAAGTGGCGAATAATTATTTTTCTCCCACATGAAATACAAGACATTATTTCATGATAAGCAAATGTTGATTTCATAATTTCCAGCAAATCTGACTTATCTTTCAGAACAGCTATCGCTGCTTAACGTTAACATAGACTAATTATCAACAAGTGATACAAATCCCCTCGCATTCACACATTGTGTGACATATGTGTATGAGGAAATGAATAGAAAATTCAATGATGTATCAGTATCTGCACTAGCGCCTGCATTCGTCGATGGAAAGTAGATTTTTATTCCGCTGAGGAATTAAGTTGATAGAGGAATGACAAAGTTTTTCTGAAAATTGTAAAAGTGATGTTGACCTTTAACACAGTCATCTGAAACACAAACTTCTTCAAGGTATTGTCATACCAAACACTTGTATCAAGTTTCATGAAATTCCGTTGAGAAATGAAGTAGCTTGAGCAATGATAATGAGTGTAACATACGTATACAGGCGGAATCCCATATTTCCTCAAACTTTCGTTACGAGGGGATAATGTAATTGAAACATTATCAATTTTTCCTGAAATAATAGAATCAAACAAG